AATTCCCCAAATTCCCCAAAAATTCCCCAAAAATTCCCAAATGAATGCCCAAAATTCTCCTAATCCCCAAATAATTCCCGAAATTCACTAAAATTCCCCAATAATTCCCCAAAATCCCCAAATCACCCCCAAAATTCCCAAAATCATTCCCAAAATCATTCCCAAAAATCCCAAAATCATTCCCAAAATTCCCCCAAAAATTACTAAAATAATTCCTAAAAAATTCCCCCCAAAATTCCCAAAAAGTTCCCAAATCAATGCCCAAAATTCCCCAAATAATTCCCCCAAAATCCCCAAAAAACCACCCAAAATTCCCAAAATCATTCCCAAAAATCCCCAAAAATCCCAAATTAATTCCCAAAAATTCCCAAAAAATCCCCAAAATTCCCCAAAATTCCCGAAGGGACAAACTCACGGCGAAGATCTCCCGGAGGCCGCCGGGGCTGAGGCGCCTCCGGAGGAGCCCCCGGAGCAGCTCCGAGAGAGCCCCCAGAGCGTCCCCCGAGCAGATCCTGCAAAAAAAACCGGGAAAATCCCGGAATTCCGGCCTTGGAAAGAGCCCTGGAATTCCCAAATCCACCCAAAGTCATCGTTATCCCCGAAAAAAATGGGAATTTTGGGGTTTTTCCCCGATTTTTGGGGCGAATTCGTTGTGGATGAGGGAAGGAGACTGTTAAAAATCGCAGGAAAATTTGGGAAAAGGGAGAAAATCCTGGAATTCTGGGATGGGGAAAACCCCTGGAATCCCCAAATCCACCCAATCCATTCTTATCCCAGAAAAAATTGGGAATTTTTGAGATTTTTCCCAATTTTTGGGGGCAAATTCTGTGTGGATGAGGCTTTGGAAATGTCAGAATTGCTTGGGAAAGGAGGAAATCCTGGAATTTGGGGCTTGAAAAACCCCAAATCCATCCAATCCATTTTATCCCAGAAAAAAATGGGAATTTTTGGGATTTTTCCCAATTTTTGCAGTGAATTCTTTGCGGATGAGGGAAGGAGCCTGTTAAAAATCGCAGGAAAATTCGGGAAAAGGGAGAAAATCCTGGAATTTTGGGGCTTGGAAAAACCTCAAATCCATCCGATCCATTCTTATCCCAGAAAAAAATGGGAATTTTGGGGATTTTTCCCGATTTTTGGGGCGAATTCGTTGTGGATGAGGGAAGGAGATTGTTAAAAATCGCAGGAAAATTTGGGAAAAGGGAGAAAATCCTGGAATTCTGGGATGGGGAAAACCCCTGGAATCCCCAAATCCACCCAATCCATTCTTATCCCAGAAAAAATTGGGAATTTTGGGGATTTTTCCCGATTTTTTGGGGGTCAAATTCTTTGTGGATGAGGGAAGGAGCCTGTTAGAAATAACAGGAGAATTTGGGAAAAGGGAGAAAATCCTGGAATTCTGGGATGGGAAAACCCCCTGGAATCCCCAAATCCACCCAATCCATTCTTATCCCAGAAAAAATTGGGAATTTTTGAGATTTTTCCCAATTTTTGGGGGCAAATTCTGTGTGGATGAGGCTTTGGAAATGTCAGAATTGCTTGGGAAAGGAGGAAATCCTGGAATTTTGGGGCTTGGAAAAACCCCAAATCCATCCAATCCATTTTTATCCCAGAAAAAAATGGGAATTTTTGGGATTTTTCCCAATTTTTGCAGTGAATTCTTTGCGGATGAGGGAAGGAGCCGGTTAAAAATCGCAGGAAAATTCGGGAAAAGGGAGAAAATCCTGGAATTTTGGGGCTTGGAAAAACCTCAAATCCATCCGATCCATTCTTATCCCAGAAAAATTGGGAATTTTTGAGATTTTTCCCAATTTTTGGGGGCAAATTCTGTGTGGATGAGGCTTTGGAAATGTCAGAATTGCTTGGGAAAGGAGGAAATCCTGGAATTTTGGGGCTTGGGAAAACCCCTGGAATTCCCAAATCCATCCAAAGTCATCGTTATCCCAGAAAAAAATTGGGAATTTTTGGGGATTTTTCCCGATTTTTTGGGGGGTCAAATTCTTGGTGGATGAGGGAAGGAGCCTGTTAAAAACAGCAGGAAAATTTGGGAAAAGGAAGAAAATCTTGGAATTTTGGGCTTGAAAAGAGCCCTGGCATTCCCAAATCCATCCAAAGTCATCGTTATCCCAGAAAAAAATGGGAATTTTGGGATTTTTCCCAAATTTTTTTGGCAAATTCTTTGTGGATGAGGCCTTGGATATCTCGGAATGATGGAAAAAATAGGAATGGGAGTGGGAAAAATGGGAATGGGAAGAGTGGGAATAGTGGGAATAACGGGAATGGGAATGATGGGAATGATGGGAAAATGGGAATAATGGGAATGACGGGAATAATGGGAATAGTGGGAATGGGAAATGGGGAATGGGGAAAATGGGAAAAATGGGAAATTGAGAAGGGGATAAATGGGAAATTTGGAATGAAAAAATGGGAATGGGCAAAATGGGAATAATGGGAATAATGGGAATGGGAATTTGGGAATGGGAATGGGAATGATGGGAATGCGAAATTTGGAACGGGAAAAATGGGGAAAAATGGGAAAAATGGGGATGATGGGAATGGGATAATTTGGAATGGGAAATCGGGAGTGGAAAACCAGGAATGAAGAAGGAGATTCCCACGTCTCCCACAGAACCTGGGAGCGAATTCCCAGAAAATCTGGAGAAATGGAAAAATTGGGAATGGGAATAATGGGAAATTGGGAATGGGAAGAATGGGAATGGGTAAAATGGGAATAATGGGAACAATGGGAATAATGGGAATAATGGGATTTTGGGAATGGGAACAATGGGAATGCGAAATTTGCAACGGGAAAAATGGGAAAAAATGGGAAAAATGGGGATGATGGCAATGGGATAATCTGGAATGGGAAATTGGGAATGGAAAACCAGGAATGAAGAAGGAAATTCCCACTTCTCCCACAGAACCTGGGAGCGAATTCCCAAAAAATCTGGAGAAATGGAAAAATTGGGAATGGGAATAATGGGAAATTGGGAATGGGAAGAATGGGAATGGGTAAAATGGGAATAATGGGAATAATGGGAATGATGGGAATGATGGGAATGATGGGAATGGGAATTTGGGAATGGGAATGATGGGAATGAGAAATTTGGAATGGCAGTGATGGGAATGGGATAATTTGGAATGGGAAATCGGGAGTGGAAAACCAGGAATGCAGAAGGAGATTCCCACTTCTCCCACAGAACCTGGGAGCGAATTCCCAGAAAATCTGGAGAAATGGAAAAATTGGGAATGGGAATAATGGGAATGGGCAAAATGGGAATAATGGGAATGGGAATTTGGGAATGGGAATGATGGGAATAATGGGAATGGGAATTTGGGAATGGGAATGGAAAAATGGAAATGGGCAAAACGGGAATAATGGGAAGGGGAATTTGGGAATGGGAATGATGGGAATGAGAAATTTGGAATGGGAATGGGAAAAATGGGAATAATGGGAAAAATGGGAATGATGGGAATGATGGGAATGATGGGAATGGGAATTTGGGAATGGGAATGATGGGAATGAGAAATTTGGAATGGCAGTGATGGGAATGGGATAATTTGGAATGGGAAATCGGGAGTGGAAAACCAGGAATGCAGAAGGAAATTCCCACTTCTCCCACAGAACCTGGGAGCGAATTCCCAGAAAATCTGGAGAAATGGAAAAATTGGGAATGGGAATAATGGGAATGGGCAAAATGGGAATAATGGGAATGGGAATTTGGGAATGGGAATGATGGGAATAATGGGAATGGGAATTTGGGAATGGGAATGGAAAAATGGAAATGGGCAAAACGGGAATAATGGGAAGGGGAATTTGGGAATGGGAATGATGGGAATGAGAAATTTGGAATGGGAATGGGAAAAATGGGAATAATGGGAAAAATGGGAATGATGGGAATGATGGGAATGATGGGAATGGGAATTTGGGAATGGGAATGATGGGAATGAGAAATTTGGAATGGCAGTGATGGGAATGGGATAATTTGGAATGGGAAATCGGGAGTGGAAAACCAGGAATGCAGAAGGAAATTCCCACTTCTCCCACAGAACCTGGGAGCGAATTCCCAGAAAATCTGGAGAAATGGAAAAATTGGGAATGGGAATAATGGGAATGGGCAAAATGGAAATAATGGGAATGGGAATTTGGGAATGGGAATGATGGGAATAATGGGAATGGGAATTTGGGAATGGGAATGGAAAAATGGAAATGGGCAAAACGGGAATAACGGGAATGGGAATTTGGGAATGGGAATGATGGGAATGAGAAATTTGAATGATGGGAATGAGAAATTTGAAATGGGAATGGGAAAAATGGGAATAATGGGAAAAATGGGAATGATGGGAATGATGGGAATGATGGGAATGATGGGAATGATGGGAATGGGAATTTGGGAATGGGAATGATGGGAATGAGAAATTTGGAATGGCAATGATGGGAATGGGATAATCTGGAATGGGAAATTGGGAATGGAAAACCAGGAATGCAGAAGGAGATTCCCACTTCTCCCACAGAACCTGGGAGCGAATTCCCAGAAAATCTGGAGAAATGGAAAAATTGGGAATGGGAATAATGGGAAATTGGGAATGGGAAGAATGGGAATGGGTAAAATGGGAATAATGGGAATAATGGGAATAATGGGATTTTGGGAATGGGAACAATGGGAATGCGAAATTTGGAACGGGAAAAATGGGGAAAAATGGGAAAAATGGGGATGATGGGAATGGGATAATTTGGAATGGGAAATTGGGAATGGAAAACCAGGAATGAAGAAGGAAATTCCCACTTCTCCCACAGAACCTGGGAGCGAATTCCCAGAAAATCTGGAGAAATGGAAAAATTGGGAATGGGAAGAATGGGAATGGGCAAAATGGGAATAATGGGAATGGGAATTTGGGAATGGGAATGGAAAAATGGAAATGGGCAAAACGGGAATAATGGGAAGGGGAATTTGGGAATGGGAATGATGGGAATGAGAAATTTGAAATGGGAATGGGAAAAATGGGAATAATGGGAAAAATGGGAATGATGGGAATGATGGGAATGATGGGAATGGGAATTTGGGAATGGGAATGATGGGAATGAGAAATTTGGAATGGCAATGATGGGAATGGGATAATCTGGAATGGGAAATTGGGAATGGAAAACCAGGAATGCAGAAGGAAATTCCCACTTCTCCCACAGAACCTGGGAGCGAATTCCCAGAAAATCTGGAGAAATGGAAAAATTGGGAATGGGAATAATGGGAAATTGGGAATGGGAAGAATGGGAATGGGTAAAATGGGAATAATGGGAACAATGGGAATAATGGGAATAATGGGAATTTGGGAATGGGAACAATGGGAATGCGAAATTTGGAACGGGAAAAATGGGGAAAAATGGGAAAAATGGGGATGATGGGAATGGGATAATTTGGAATGGGAAATTGGGAATGGAAAACCAGGAATGAAGAAGGAAATTCCCACTTCTCCCACAGAACCTGGGAGCGAATTCCCAGAAAATCTGGAGAAATGGAAAAATTGGGAATGGGAAGAATGGGAAATTGGGAATGGGAAGAATGGGAATGGGTAAAATGGGAATAATGGGAATAATGGGAATGATGGGAATGATGGGAATGATGGGAATGGGAATTTGGGAATGGGAATGATGGGAATGAGAAATTTGGAATGGCAATGATGGGAATGGGATAATTTGGAATGGGAAATCGGGAATGGAAAACCAGGAATGCAGAAGGAGATTCCCACTTCTCCCACAGAACCTGGGAGCGAATTCCCAGAAAATCTGGAGAAATGGAAAAATTGGGAATGGGAATAATGGGAATGGGCAAAATGGGAATAATGGGAATGGGAATTTGGGAATGGGAATGATGGGAATAATGGGAATGGGAATTTGGGAATGGGAATGGAAAAATGGAAATGGGCAAAACGGGAATAATGGGAAGGGGAATTTGGGAATGGGAATGATGGGAATGAGAAATTTGGAATGGGAATGGGAAAAATGGGAATAATGGGAAAAATGGGAATGATGGGAATGATGGGAATGATGGGAATGATGGGAATGGGAATTTGGGAATGGGAATGATGGGAATGAGAAATTTGGAATGGCAATGATGGGAATGGGATAATCTGGAATGGGAAATTGGGAGTGGAAAACCAGGAATGCAGAAGGAGATTCCCACTTCTCCCACAGAACCTGGGAGCGAATTCCCAGAAAATCTGGAGAAATGGAAAAATTGGGAATGGGAATAATGGGAAATTGGGAATGGGAAGAATGGGAATGGGTAAAATGGGAATAATGGGAATAATGGGAATAATGGGATTTTGGGAATGGGAACAATGGGAATGCGAAATTTGGAACGGGAAAAATGGGAAAAAATGGGACAAATGGGGATGATGGCAATGGGATAATCTGGAATGGGAAATTGGGAATGGAAAACCAGGAATGAAGAAGGAAATTCCCACTTCTCCCACAGAACCTGGGAGCGAATTCCCAAAAAATCTGGAGAAATGGAAAAATTGGGAATGGGAAGAATGGGAAATTGGGAATGGGAAGAATGGGAATGGGAAAAATGGGAATAATGGGAATGATGGGAATGATGGGAATGATGGGAATGATGGGAATGGGAATTTGGGAATGGGAATGATGGGAATGAGAAATTTGGAACGGGAATGATGGGAACGGGATAATTTGGAATGGGAAATCGGGAATGGAAAACCAGGAATGAAGAAGGAGATTCCCACTTCTCCCACAGAACCTGGGAGCGAATTCCCAGAAAATCCGGAGCTGCCCCATCCCAGTCAAGACCCCAGGAAAAACCCGGAATATCGTGATGGGAATTTTCCCGGAATTCCCGGTTTTTTCCCCCCAGAATCGGGCGGGATCCCCACCTGGGCTGGGGGCTCCTGGCGGTTTTTGGGGGGCTCGGGCGGGGGCAGGGCCAGGACGGATCCCAGGGCCGCGTCCAGGAGCTCGGAGCGCTCGGAATCGCTCAGGGGCGGCTCCAGCGCCCTGCAAAACCCGGCTGAGGAAAATCCGGAATGGCAACGGACACCGGGCGGCGGGGGGGGTGGCAATTAGTGGGGATTAATTGGGATTTAATGGGAATTAATTGGAATTATTGGGAATGAATGGGAATCGGAGCGCTCGGAATCGCTCAGCGGCGGCTCCAGCGCCCTGAAAACCCGGCTGAGGAAAATCCGGAATGGCAACGGACACCGGGCGGCGGGGGGGGTGGCAATTAGTGGGGATTAATTGGGATTTAATGGGAATTAATTGGAATTATTGGGAATTAATGGGAATCGGAGCGCTCGGAATCGCTCAGGGGCGGCTCCAGCGCCCTGAAAACCCGGCTGAGGAAAATCCGGAATGGCAACGGACACGGCGCAGGGGGGGGTGGCAATTAGTGGGGATTAATTGGGATTTAATGGGAATTAATTGGAATTATTGGGAATTAATGGGAATCGGAGCGCTCGGAATCGCTCAGCGGCGGCTCCAGCGCCCTGAAAACCCGGCTGAGGAAAATCCGGAATGGCAACGGACACGGCGCGGGGGGGGTGGCAATTAGTGGGGATTAATTAGTAATTAGTGGGAATTATTGGGAATTAATTTAGATTAATTGAGAACTATTGGGAATTAATTGGGATTTATTGGGGTTAATGGCAATTATTGCGAAATATTGGGGATTAATTGAGAATTATTGGGGATTAATTGGGATTTATTGGGGTTAATGGCAATTATTGCGAAATATTGGGGATTAATTGAGAATTATTGGGGATTTGTTGGGGATTAATTGAGAATTATTGGGAATTAATTATTGGGAATTAATTATTGGGAATTAATAGGGATTAATTGAGAATTATTGGGGATTTATTGGGAATTATTGGGGTTAATGGGAATTAATTGGGAATTATTGGGGGTTAATGGGAATTATTGTGAAATATTGGGGATTAATTGAGAATTATTGGGGATTTATTGGGGATTATCGGGAATTAATTGGGAATTTTTGTGAAATATTGGGGATTAATTGAGAATTATTGGGGATTTATTGGGGATTATCAGGAATTAATTGGGAATTATTGTGAAATATTGGGGATTAATTGAGAATTATTGGGGATTTGTTGGGGATTAATTGAGGATTATTGGGAATTAATTATTGGGAATTAATAGGGATTAATTGAGAATTATTGGGGATTTATTGGGGATTTACTGGGGATTATTGGGAATTAATTGAAAATTATTGGGAATTAATTGGGAATTATTGGGGTTAATGGGAATTAATTGGGAATTATTGGGGATTAATGGGCATTATTGTGAAATACTTGGGATCAATTGAGAATTATTGGGGAAATTCTGGGAATGGGAACGGCCACAGGGCAGGGGGGGCTGGCAATTAGTGGGGATTAATTAGTAATCAATGGGAATTAATTGGAGTTATTAGGAATTAATATAGATTGAGAATTATTGGGAATTAATTGGGAATTATAAGGGGTTAATGGGAATTATTGTGAAATACTGGGGATTAGTTGAGAATTATTGGGGATTTATTGGGGATTTACTGGGGATTATTGGGAATTAATTGGGAATTATTGGGAATTAATTGGGAATTATTTGGGCTAATGGGAATTAATTGGGAATTATTGGGGATTAATGGGCATTATTGTGAAATATTGGGGATTAATTGAGAATTATTGGGGATTCGTTGGGGATTAATTGAGAATTATTGGGAATTAATTATTGGGAATTAATAGGGATTAACTGAGAATTATTGGGGATTTACTGGGGATTATTGGGGGCTAATTGGGAATTATTGGAGATTATTGGGATTTATTGGAAATTAATTGGGAATTATTGGGGATTAATGGGCATTATTGTGAAATATTGGGGATTAATTGAGAATTATTAAGGATTTGTTGGGGATTATCGGGAATTAATTGGGAATTATTGTGAAATATTGGGGATTAATTGAGAATTATTGGGGATTTGTTGGGGATTAATTGAGAATTATTGGGAATTAATTACTGGGAATTAATAGGGATTAATTGAGAATTATTGGGGATTTATTGAGAATTATTGGGGATTTATTGGGGATTTACTGGGGATTATTGGGAATTAATTGGGAATTATTGGGAATTAATTGGGAATTATTGGGGATTAATGGGCATTATTGTGAATTATTGAGGAAATTCTGGGAATGGGAACGGCCACAGGGCAGGGGGGGCTGGTAATTAGTGGGGATTAATTAGTAATTAGTGGGAATTATTGGAGTTATTGGGAATTAATGGGAATTTATTGGGAGTTATTGGCGATTATTGGGAATTATTGGGAATTTATTGGGGATTTATTGGGGATTATTGGGAATTAATAGGGAATTATTTGAGATTAATGGGAATTATTGGGAATTAATAGGGATTAATTGAGAATTATTGGGAATTAATTGGGAATTATTTGGGCTAATGGGAATTATTGTGAAATATTGGGAATTAATTGAGAATTATTGGGAATTAATTGAGAATTATTGGGGTTAATGGGAATTAATTGGGAATTATTGGGGATTAATGGGCATTATTGTGAAATATTGGGGATTAATTGAGAATTATTGGGGAAATTCTGGGAATGGGAACGGCCACAGGGCAGGGGGGGCTGGCAATTAGTGGGGATTAATTAGTAATTAGTGGGAATTATTGGAGTTATTGGGAATTAATGGGAATTTATTGGGAGTTACTGGGGATTATTGGGGATTTATTGGGAATTTATTGGGGATTTATTGGGGATTATTGGGGATTAATAGGGATTAATTGAGAATTCTTGGGAATTAATTGGGAATTTATTGGGATTAATGGCGATTATTAGTAATTATTGAGAATTACTGGGGCTTAATGGGATATATTGAGGATTTATTGGGGATTTATTGGGGATTATTGGAAATTAATGGGAATTATTGGGAATTAATAGGGATTAATTGAGAATTTTTGGGAATTAATTGAGAAATATTGGGGGTTAATGGGAATTAATGGCAATTATTGGGGATTAATGGGAATTATTGAGAAATATTGGGGGTTAATGGGAATTATTGGGGATTAATTGGAATTTATTGGGAATTAATGGGGATTGGGAATTATTTGGAATTAATTGGGAATTATTTGAGATTAATGGGAATTATTGGGAATTAATAGGGATTAATTGAGAATTATTGGGAATTAATTGGGATGTATTGGGTGTTAATAGGAATTATTGTGAAATATTGGGGATTAATTGGAATTTATTAGGAATTAATGGGGATGAATTAAGAATTATTGGGAATTAATTATTGGGAATTAATAGGGATTAATTGAGAACTATTGGGAATTATTGTGAAATATTGGGGATTAATTGAGAATTATTGGGGATTTATTGGGGATTATCGGGAATTAACTGGGAATTATTGTGAAATATTGGGGATTAATTGAGAATTATTGGGGATTTGTTGGGGATTAATTGAGGATTATTGGGAATTAATTATTGGGAATTAATAGGGATTAATTGAGAATTATTGGGGATTTATTGGGAATTATTGGGGATTTATTGGGGATTTACTGGGGATTATTGGGAATTAATTGGGAATTATTGGGAATTAATTGGGAATTATTGGGAATTAATTGGGAATTATTGGGGATTAATGGGCATTATTGTGAATTATTGGGGAAATTCTGGGAATGGGAACGGCCACAGGGCAGGGGGGGCTGGTAATTAGTGGGGATTAATTAGTAATTAGTGGGAATTATTGGAGTTATTGGGAATTAATGGGAATTTATTGGGAGTTATTGGCGATTATTGGGAATTATTGGGAATTTATTGGGGATTTATTGGGGATTATTGGGAATTAATAGGGAATTATTTGAGATTAATGGGAATTATTGGGGATTAATAGGGATTAATTGAGAATTCTTGGGAATTAATTGGGAATTTATTTGTATTAATGGCGATTATTAGTAATTATCGAGAATTACTGGGGATTAATGGGATTTATTGGGGATTTATTGGGGATTTATTGGGGATTATTGGAGATTAATGGGAATTATTGGGGATTAATAGGGATTAATTGAGAATTCTTGGGAATTAATTGGGAATTTATTTGGATTAATGGCGATTATTAGTAATTATTGAGAATTACTGGGGATTAATGGGATTTATTGGGGATTTATTGGGCATTATTGGTGGATTATTGGAGATTAATGGGAATTATTGGGAATTAATAGGGATTAATTGAGAATTATTGGTAATCAATTGGGAATTATTGGAGGTTAATGGGAATTATTGCGAAATATTGGAGATTAATTGAGAATTACTGGGGATTAATTAGGAATTAATGGGAATTCATGGGAATTTATTGGGAATTATTGGGAATTAATGGGAATTATTGAGGATTATAAGCAATTTATTAGGAATTATTGGGAATTAAGAGGAATTTATTGAGAATTGTGGGGATTATAGGGAATTATTGATAATTAGTGGGAGTTATTGGGAATTTATTGGGGATTTGTTGGGAATTATTGGGAATTATTGGGAATTCATAGGAAATTATTGGGAATTATTGGGAAATATTGCAAATTATTGGGGATTATTTAGGATGAATGGGAATTATTAGGGATTATTTGGGACTATTGGGAATTCATTGGGAATTAATTGGAAATTATAGGGAATTATTGGGAATTAATAGGGAATTATTTGGGATCATTGGAGATTAATGGGAATTATTGGGAGTTAATGGGAATTAATATGGAATTATTGGGAATTTATTGGGAATTATTTGGGATCATTGGAGATTAATGGGAATTATTGGGAGTTAATGGGGATTAATATGGAATTATTGGGAATTTATTGGGAATTATTTGGGATCATTGGAGATTAATGGGAATTATTGGGAGTTAATGGGAATTAATATGGAATTATTGGGAATTAATAGGGAATTATTTGGGATCATTGGAGATTAATGGGAGTTATTGGGAGTTAATGGGAATTAATGGGAATTTATTGGGAATTTATTGGGAATTATTGGGGATTAACGGGGATTAATGGGAATTTTTTGGGAATTACTGGGAATTAATTGGGGACTAATGGGAATTACGGGGAATTCATGGGGATTACTGGGAATTCCCAATCCTGGAATTCCAAGCAGCGGCTCCGGGGACACCAGAATTCCCGGAATTTTGGGAATTCCCATGGATGCAACCCCAAATCCCAAATCCCAGCCCAACCTCAAATCCCAATCCTGGAATTCCCAGGAGGATCCGGAATTCCCGGAATTCCCAGAATTTTCGGGAATGTTGGGAATTCTGTAATCAGGATTTGGGGGTTGGAAATTCCCAAGGACCCAACCCCAAATCCCGATCCCAGAATTCCCGAAATTCCCAAAATTCCTGGGATAATTCCCATGGATCCAACCTCAAATCTCAATCCCAGAATTCCCAGAATTCCAGGGATAATTCTCATGGATCCAATCCCAAATCCCAAATCCCGATCCTGGAATTTCTGTAATTTCCGGAATTTTGGGAATTTCCAAGGACCCAACCCCAAATCCCAATTCCCAATCCCGAAATTCCCAGAATTCCAGGGATAATTCCCATGGATCCAACCCCAAATCCCAATCCTGGAATTCCCAGGAGGATCCGGAATTCCTGGAACTCCCAGAATTTTGGGAATGTTGGGAATTCTGTAATCAGGATTTGGGGGTTGGAAATTCCCAAGGACCCAACCCCAAATCCCGATCCCGGAATTCCTGGAATTCCCGGAAATCTGGAAATGTTGAAAACTTCTAAGGACCCATTCCCAAATCCCAATCCCGGAACTCCCAGAATTCCTGGAATTTTGGGAATTCCCAAGGACTCCAGAATTCCCTGGATAATTCCCAAGGATCCAACCCCAAATCCCAATCCCAGAATTCCCGGAATTCCGGGATTATTCCCAAGGATACACCAGGTGTGCGCAGGCGCTCAGCGCTCGCTGCCACATCTGGAATTCCCAGAATTCCCGGAATTCCTGGGATAATTCCCATGGATCCAACCCCAAATCCCAATCCTAGAACTCCTGGAATTTTGGGAATTCTGGGATTATTCCCAAGGATACACCAGGTGTGCGCAGGCTCTCAGCGCTCGCTGCCACATCCGGAATTCCCGGAATTCCTGGAATTCCTGGGATAATTCCCATGGATCCAACCCCAAATCCCAAATCCCAATCCCAGAACTCCCAGAATTCCCGGAATTTTTGGAATTTTGGGCATTCCCAAGGATACACCAGGTGTGCGCAGGCGCTCAGCGCTCGCGCTCAGCGCTCGCTGCCACATCCGGAATTCCCGGAATTCCTGGAATTCCTGGGATAATTCCCATGGATCCAACCCCAAATCCCAATCCCAGAACTCCCAGAATTCCTGGACTTTTTGGAATTTTGGGCATTCCCAAGGATACACCAGGTGTGCGCAGGCGCTCAGCGCTCGCTGCCACATCTGGAATTCCCAGAATTCCTGGAATTCCTGGGATAATTCCCATGGATCCAACCCCAAATCCCAAATCCCAATCCCAGAACTCCCAGAATTCCCGGAATTTTGGGCATTCCCAAGGATACACCAGGTGTGCGCAGGCGCTCAGCGCTCGCTGCCACGTCCGAAATACCCAAAATTCCTGGAATTCCTGGGATAATTCCCATGGATCCAACCCCAAATCCCAATCCCGGAATTCCCAGAATTCCTGGACTTTTTGGAATTTTGGGAATTCCCAAGGATACACCAGGTGTGCGCAGGTGCTCAGCGCTCGCTGCCACATCCGGAATTCCCGGAATTCCTGGAATTCCTGGGATAATTCCCATGGATCCAACCCCAAATCCCAAATCCCAATCCCAGAACTCCCAGAATTCCCGGAATTTTGGGAATTCCCAAGGATACACCAGGTGTGCGCAGGCGCTCAGCGCTCCCCGACATGTCCGGAATTCCCAAAATTCCTGGAATTCCTGGGATAATTCCCATGGATCCAACCCCAAATCCCAATCCCAGAACTCCCAGGAGGCTCCAGAATTCCCGGAATTTTGGGAATTCCCAAGGATACACCAGGTGTGCGCAGGCGCTCAGCGCTCGCTGCCACATCTGGAATTCCCAGAATTCCCGGAATTCCTGGGATAATTCCCATGGATCCAACCCCAAATCCCAATCCCAGAACTCCCAGGAGGCTCCAGAATTCCCGGAATTTTGGGAATTCCCAAGGATACACCAGGTGTGCGCAGGCGCTCAGCGCTCGCTGCCGCAGCCGCGTCCGCGGCGCCTCCGGAGGCTCCGCCCTCAGGAATTCCTGGGAAAAGGGAAAAAAACCCAACGGGAATGGGGACGGAATGTTCTGGAATGTTCCCTCCGGAACGTTCTGGGATGGCCCCTCTGGAATGTTCCGGAATGTTCCCTCCGGAACGTTCTGGGATGGCCCCTCTGGAATGTTCCGGAATGTTCCCTCCGGAAGATCCCAAGGGGATCCAAAGGGAGCCGGTATCTCATCCCAGTCCATCCCAGTCCCTCCCAGTATTCCATGGCCCCATCCCAGTTAATCCCAGCCCATCCCAGTCCATCCCAGCCCCTCCCAGTCTATCCCAGTCTATTCCCAGTATCCCATTATCCCATTCCCAGTGCATCCCAGTATCCCGTTATCCCTTTCTCAGTCCATCCCAGCCTCTCCCAATCCCATCCCAGTCCCTCCCAGTCTATTCCCAGTATCCCATTATCCCATTCCCAGTGCATCCCAGTATCCCGTTATCCCATTCCCAGCTCCTCCCAGTCTCTCCCAATCCCATCCCAGTCCCTCCCAGTATATTCCCAGTATCCCATTATTCCATTCCCAGTCCATCCCAGTATCCCGCTATGCCACCCGAGTCCATCCCAGTATCCCATAATCCCACCCCAGTCCATCCCAGTATCCCATCCCAGTATCCCATTATCCCATCCCAATCCCTCCCAGTTCCTCCCAGTCCATTCCAGTCTCTCCCACCATCCCATTACACCATCCCAGTTAATCCCAGTCCATCCCAGTCCATCCCAGTATCCCATTATCCCATCCCAGTCCATCCCAGTATCCCGTTATCCCATCCCAGTCCCTCCCAGTCCATCCCAGTGCCCTCCCAACCCCATCCCCATCATCCCAGTCCCTCCCAGTCTATTCCCAGTATCCTGTTATCCCATCCCAGTCCATCCCAGTATCCTGTTATCCCATCCCAGTCCATCCCAGCATCCCATTATCCCATCCCAGTCCATCCCAGCATCCCATTATCCCATCCCAGTCCATCCCAGTATCCCATTATCCCATCCCAGTCCATCCCAGCATCCCATTTTCCCATCCCAGTCCATCCCAGTATCCCATGCCAGTATCTCCTTATCCCATCCCAGTCCATCCCAGTCCATCCCAATCCCCTCCCAGTCTCTCCCAGTCCATCCCAGTATCCCAGTATCCCATTCCCAGTCCCTCCCAGTCCATCTCAGTATCCCATTATCCCGTTCCCAGTGTATCCCAGTCTGCCCCAGTCCGTCCCAGTCCATCCCAGTCCATTCCCAGTATCCCATTATCCCATCCCAGTCCCATCCCAGTCCCATCCCAGTCCCATCCCAGTATCCCATCCCAGTATCCCATCCCAGTCCCATCCCAGTCCGTCCCAGTCTGTCCCAGTCCGTCCCAGTCTGTCCCAGTCCCATCCCAGTCCATTCCCAGTATCCCATCCCAGTATCCCATCCCAGTCCCATCCCAGTCCGTCCCAGTCCCATCCCAGTCTCTCCCAGCCCATCCCATTATCCCATCCCAGTCCCATCCCAGTCCGTCCCAGTCTGTCCCAGTCTGTCCCAGTCCATTCCCAGTATCCCATCCCAGTATCCCATCCCAGTCCCATCCCAGTCTGTCCCAGTCCCATCCCAGTCTCTCCCAGCCCATCCCAGTCCCTCCCAGTCCCATCCCAGTCCCTCCCAGTCCGTCCCAGTCTCACCACCATGAGCGCCACCAGCTCGGCCTTGCGGGCGATGCTGCCGCAGCCGCCGGGGCCGTTGCCGGGGTAATTCCCGAAATTCCCGGAATTGTTCCCGGAACTGTTCCCGGAATTGCCGCAGGCCAGGGCTTGGCTGATCATGGAGACGCTGCGGGCCAGGCTCAGCTTCAGCACCGGGTCCTGGGGACGGGAACAGGATCAGCGGGACCGGCCCGGAACCGGGATCGGGATCAGCCCGGAACCGGGATCGGCCCAGAACCGGGATCAGTCTGGAACTGGAATTGGGATCAGCGGGATCGGCCCGGAACCGGGATCGGGATCAGCCCGGAACCGGGATCGGCCCAGAACCGGGATCAGTCTGGAACTGGAATTGGGATCAGCGGGATCGGCCCGGAACTGGGATCGGGATAAGCGGGATCGGCCCGGAACTGGGATCGGGATCAGTGGGACTGGCCCGGAACCGGGATCGGGATCAGTGGGAACAGCCCAGCACCGGGATCAGGATCAGCCCAGAACCGGGATCAGCCCAGAACCGGGATCAGTCTGGAACTGGAACTGGGACCAGCGGGAACAGCCCAGCACCGGGATCGGGATCAGCCCAGAACCGGGATCGGCCCAGAACCGGGATCAGTCTGGAACTGGGATCGGGATCAGTGGGAACAGCCCAGCACCGGGATCGGGATCAGCCCAGAACCGGGAGCGGGATCAGCCGAGAACCGGGATCAGCCCAGAACCGGGATCGGCCTGGAACTGGAATTGGGACCAGCGGGAACAGCCCAGCACCGGGATCGGGATCAGCCCAGAACCGGGAGCGGGATCAGCCCAGAACCGGGAGCGGGATCAGCCCAGAACCGGGATCAGCCCAGAACCGGGATCGGCCTGGAACTGGGATCGGGATCAGCGGGAACAGCCCAGCACCGGGATTGGGATCAGCCCAGAACCGGGAGCGGGATCAGCCCAGAACCGGGAGCGGGATCAGCCCAGAACCGGGATCAGTCTGGAACTGGGATCGGGATCAGTGGGAACAGCCCAGCACCGGGATCGGGATCAGCCCAGAACCGGGAGCGGGATCAGCCCAGAACCGGGATCAGCCCAGAACTGGGATCAGTCTAGAACTGGGATCGGGACCAGCCCAGAACTGGAACTGGGATCACCCTGGAACTGGGATCAGCTCAGAACTGGGATCAACGTGGAATTGGGATCAGCCTGGGACTGGGATAGGGATCAGTGGGATTGGCCTGGAACCGGGATTGGGATCAACAGGATCAGCCCAGAAGCGGGATTGGGATCAGCGGGATCAGGATCAGCCCAGAACCAGAACTGGGCTCAGCCCAGAACTGGGACTGGGATCAGCCCAGAACTGGGACTGGGATCAGCCCAGAATTGGAACTGGGCTCAGCCCAGAACTGGAACTGGGATCAGCCCAGAACTCGGACTGGGATCAGCCCAGAACTGGGATCAGCCCAGAACCAGGATCCGGATCAGTGGGATCAGCCCGGAATGGGGATCAGGATCAGTGGGATCGGCCCAGAACCAGGATCGGGATCAGCCCAGAACTCAGATTGGGATCAGCCTGGAATTGGGATCAGCCCAGGATCAGGATTGGGATCAGCCCAGAACCAGGACCGGCATCAGCCTGGCACTGGGATCAGCCCAAAACTGGGATCAGCCTAGAAATGGGATTGGCATCAGTGGAATCAGCCTGGAACCAGGACTGGGATTGGCCCAGAACCGGGATCGGCCCAGAACTGGGATCAGCGGGATCAGTCTGGAACCAAAATCAGCACGATCGGCCTGGAACCAGGACTGGGATCAGTGGGATCAGCCCGGAACCAGGATCGGGATCAGTGGGATTGGCCCAGAACCAGGACTGGGATCAGCGGGATCAGCCCAGAACCGGGATCGGGATCAGTGGGATTGGCCCAGAACCAGGACTGGGATCAGTGGGATCAGCCTGGAACCGGGATCGGGATCAGTGGGATTGGCCCAGAACCAGGACTGGGATCAGCCCGGAGCTGGGATTGAGATCAGCCTGGAACTCGGGTTGGGATCAGCATGAACCGGGATCAGCCTGGAACTGGGATCGGGGTCAGAGGGATCAGCCCAGAACTGGAATTGGGATCAGCCGAGAACCGGGATCAGCCTGGAACCAGGATTGGGATCAGCCTGGAACCGGGATCGGGATCAGCAAGATCAGCCCAGAAACTGGACTAGGGATTGGCCGGGAACAGGGATTGGGATCAGCCTAGAACCGGGATCAGCCTAGAAACTGGGATCGAGATCATTGCGATCAGCCCAGAACCGGGATTGGGATCAGCCTGGAAACTGGGATTGGGATCAGCAAGATCAGCCTAGAACCAGGATTGGGATCAGCCTGGAAACTGGGATTGGGATCAGCCTGGAAACTGGCACTGGGATCAGACTGGAACTGGGATCAGATTGGAACTGGAACTGGGATCAATGGGATCAGCCCAAAACTAGGAATTGGGATTAGCCCAGAACCGGGATTGGAATTAGCCCAGAACTGGAACTGGGATCAGCCCAGAACTGGGATCAATGGGACCAGCCCGGAACTGGGACTGGGATCAGCCCTGAACTGGGATCATGATTAGACTGGAACCAGGACTGGGATCAGCCTGGAACTGAGAGCAGCCCAGAACTGGGACTGGGATCAACCTGGAACCAGGATTGGGATCAATGGGATCAGCCCGGAAGTAGGACTGGGATCAGATTGGAACTGGGACCGGGATCAATGGGATCAGCCCAGAACCGGGATCGGGATCAGCAGGATTGGGATTGGGATCAGCCCAGAACTGAGATCAGCCTGGAACCAGGATTGGGATCAATGGGATCAGCCCGGAACTGGGACTGGGATCAGACTGGAACTGGGACTGGGATCACACTGGAACTGGGATTGGAATCAGCCCGGAAACTGGGATTGGAATCAGCCCAGAACTGGGATTAGGATCACACTGGTATGGGGATTGGGATCAGCCTTGAACTGGGATTGGGATCAGCCTGGAACTGGGACTGGGATCAGCCCGGAACTGGGATTGGGATCAGACTGGAACTGGGATTGGGATCAGACTGGAAACTGGGATTGGGATCAGCCTGGAACTGGGACTGGGATCAGACTGGAACTGGGATTGGGATCAGCCTGGGACTGGGACTGGGATCACACTGGAACTGGGATTGGGATCAGCCCGGAACTGGGATTGGGATCAGCCTGGAACTGGGATTGGGATCAGCCCGGAACCGGGACTGGGATCAGACTGGAACTGGGATTGGGATCAGCCTGGAACCGGGACTGGGATCAGTCTGGAACCGGGACTGGGATCAGCCCAGAACTGGGATTGGGATCAGTCCGGAACTGGGATTGGGATCAGCCTGGAACTGGGACTGGGATCAAACTGGAACTGGGACTGGGATCAGTCTGGAACCGGGACTGGGATCAGCCCAGAACTGGGACTGGGATCAGCCCGGAACTGGGATTGGGATCAGCCCGGAACTGGGATTGGGATCAGTCTGGAACTGGGATTGGGATCAGCCCAGAACTGGGATCGGGATCAGACTGGAACTGGGACTGGGATCAGACTGGAACTGGGACTGGGATCAGACTGGAACTGGGATCAACTCAGAATTGGGATCAGTCCGGAACTGGGATTGGGATCAGCCCAGAACTGGGATTGGGATCAGTCCGGAACTGGGATTGGGATCAGCCTGGAACTGGGACTGGGATCAAACTGGAACTGGGACTGGGATCAGTCTGGAACCGGGACTGGGATCAGCCCAGAACTGGGACTGGGATCAGCCCGGAACTGGGATTGGGATCAGCCTGGAACAGGGATTGGGATCAGCCCGGAACCGGGACTGGGATCAGACTGGAACTGGGATTGGGATCAGACTGGAACTGGGACTGGGATCAGACTGGAACTGGGATCAACTCAGAATTGGGATCAGTCCGGAACTGGGATTGGGATCAGCCCAGAACTGGGATTGGGATCAGTCCGGAACTGGGATTGGGATCAGACCAGAACTGGGATCGGGATCAGCCCAGAACTGGGATTGGGATCAGCCCGGAACTGGGATTGGGATCAGCCTGGAACTGGGATTGGGATCAGCCTGGAACTGGGACTGGGATCAGACTGGAACTGGGATTGGGATCAGCCTGGAACTGGGATTGGGATCAGCCTGGGACTGGGACTGGGATCAGACTGGAACTGGGATTGGGATCAGCCCGGAACTGGGATTGGGATCAGCCTGGAAACTGGCACTGGGATCAGACTGGAACTGGGATCAGATTGGAACTGGAACTGGGATCAATGGGATCAGCCCAAAACTAGGAATTGGGATTAGCCCAGAACCGGGATTGGAATTAGCCCAGAACTGGAACTGGGATCAGCCCAGAACTGGGATCAATGGGACCAGCCCGGAACTGGGACTGGGATCAGCCCTGAACTGGGATCATGATTAGACTGGAACCAGGACTGGGATCAGCCTGGAACTGAGAGCAGCCCAGAACTGGGACTGGGATCAACCTGGAACCAGGATTGGGATCAATGGGATCAGCCCGGAAGTAGGACTGGGATCAGATTGGAACTGGGACCGGGATCAATGGGATCAGCCCAGAACCGGGATCGGGATCAGCAGGATTGGGATTGGGATCAGCCCAGAACTGAGATCAGCCTGGAACCAGGATTGGGATCAATGGGATCAGCCCGGAACTGGGACTGGGATCAGACTGGAACTGGAACTGGGATCAGACTGGAACTGGGACTGGGATCAGCCCGGAAACTGGGATTGGGATCAGCCCAGAACTGGGATTAGGATCACACTGGAACTGGGATTGGGATCAGCCTGGAACTGGGATTGGGATCAGCCCGGAACCGGGATCGGGATCAGTGGGATTGGCCCAGAACCAGGACTGGGTTCAGTGGGATCAGCCCAGAACCGGGATCGGGATCAGTGGGATCAGCCCAGAACCAGGACTGGGTTCAGGGGGATCAGCCCAGAACCGGGATCGGGATCAGTGGGATTGGCCCAGAACCAGGACTGGGATCAGTGGGATCAGCCCGGAACCGGGATCGGGATCAGTGGGATTGGCCCAGAACCAGGACTGGGTTCAGTGGGATCAGCCCAGAACCGGGATCGGGATCAGTGGGATCAGCCCAGAACCAGGA